TAAAATATGTTCTGTGAACTTGAAGTTACCAACAGCCTTTATAGATGGATAGTGGCTTTCTACTGGTATCAGCCTGCTGGCTGTGTTGACACATCTTCCAGTAGTTGTGGATGTAAGCATAGATCTCCTTGAGCTCCAGTTTTTACGGAATACTCTTCTAGATGATGAGTTTGACCCTAGAACCTTGTACCTCAAAAAGTCAGGGTTTATGCTCATGACATTCCCTCCATTCACATTCTCTTATATTATGGCCATGCCCGCAGTTTGCTCAGCTTCTCCCTAAGGTCTGAGAGGGCTGTGAGAGCATCAAGATTTCTTGGGATCTCATATGCTTACTTTTAGGCATGGCACAGCAGTGAGATGACTCAAAGTACGTACCTAGGCTTGGGAAAGATAACCGAGATAGCTGAGCCAACATGCCATTCTAAGACAAAAAGTAATTTCAACAATGCATTCTGAAAAATGGTCCCAGCAGTTCCCTGGGGCACCCTCTAATGGATCCTAATTAGAAGCTGTCACTTCTTGTTATGGGAAGGAAGGAATGGTTCAGCTTTCCCACCCCTTAACCTTGGAGAGACTGAGATGAGAGCTGCCCCTAGGAATTGTTTAATTTAGGGCACTTTCTCTCCTGCAAGAAATTAATTGGGAATTTCTGTGTGTGGTAGGGCAGGCACCTCCAGGAGGTGCACGACATGCAGACACTTCTAACACTGTGAATTCATGCACATACGTGCACAGATGCCCACTTGAGAAAACTTTATTTTTTAAACACTTGTGCCTGTCGTTTCTCATACGCTAGACTCCTGCCTCAAGCTCCTCTCCTGCTCAGCCTGTACCCTCCAACATCTATGCACTAGATTCCTAGCGTGGGTCTCCCTGGAAGGCACTTTCAAGACCCATAAAGGCTGTAGGGCTACAGTGTCCTGCTTAGTTTCAATGGGTTGTGGATGTTGCCAATTTGATCAGAAGGTTTTTAAAAAACTGTTGTGAAACTGCAACCCCTAAACAATAAAGCCTCCTGTCTGTCTCCTACTAGCACATTCCTTACATGCATCTTTTTCAGACACTTGATTTCTTGACAGCATTTACATAACCTGGCTGAAAACACTCCCACAGCCGATTAAATGCCTGCTATGAAATCCAAAGCTCTGATTAAAAGGATGGAGCTTTCCAGGACTGCAATATTTGCACAGATGGTTAATACTCATGGCTTGCTCTACAGGGGGAAAAGTGGCATTTTCTTTACAAGTGCATCCAGTCTGAGCTTTCCCATGGGAATTGCTTGTTTTGTTCAGATTATTATTTTAAAGCTATCATCAGACGTGATCACCCATTGGATTAGAGGAAGCAAAAGGAGATGAACAGATAATCCCTGAGGCACAAAGCATTTTGAGTTGGATTTGAAGAGAGCTGTCACCTATGGTCAACTTGTTTAGCTCAGGGTCCTTCTCTCCTCTCTACCTTCCTGAAAATACTTGTGCCTAGTGGCCGTAGACCTTTAGAGATGTGGGATGTTGTAGTAATTTCCTCAAGGAAGTACCCTCTGAGCTGGCTGATGTGACAACCCCTTTTTCTGAAAAAATGCATGGTTAAAAGAGAAAAGTGCAAAAGTGAATAGCAGGTAAATATCCACACTAGGTCTTGCAAAATCATCAAGATGTCCCCTTTTCATCTGGTGCATAGAAATCTTTGGCAAAGAGAACTTCTGATCTATCCCAGTCAGATGAGCATAAAGATCTAGTCAGACTGAAATATTAAACACAAATTAGGCACAATAAAAATGAACTCTCTGAAGATGGAGGTTTGTGCCATGGGTCTTAGAACAGAAGCCTCAATTACGGGGGAATGTTCCCTAGAACAAGGAAGTCCAATCTCGTTGCTGTTATTTTCCCATCTTTGTGAACAAGGTTGTGATTTTGACTGTTTATTATGAGCGCTCAACTGAGATACCCTGATCTCTTTGGGGTCCTGCCATTGTTTAGCTTTTCCTGAAAACTGGAAAACATCTTGTAAGAGTAACTAAAGCCATGGAGCTTTATATATTTTTTTTTTCTGATGTGGAAGAACAGGACTGAAGTGGAGGATTTTATCACTGTCTGCAGGGGAAGTGGGATCAGCTCTCAGTTTACTGGGATATCACTAGCAGGCCACATAACATAAATACTGGCAAAGCACGAGCAGAAGCAAACGCTGTGGCTCTTTGCTGGGGCTGTACTATTCATCTGGCCCTAGATCTGGTGCAGAAATACGAAGCTAAACCTATAGCCAAGTTTATTACAGTGTAGAAGAGTAAAGTGCTAGATAGCAGAAACTTTGTCAATCAAATCTTTCTCAGATAGACATTCCCCAATTCAGGATTGTAACCTTTTCCAGAGTCCTCTCTGTCAAAACCTCAGAAATTCCCAGTGTTTCTCAAGCAGGAACCAGCACATGAGGAAGTAATTAATGACAGCAGGAGAAAGAAAAAAAAAAAGTGCTGAATAGAGGCAAAATTGAGACTCAAACCCCTCATCCCACAGGCTGCCTCCTCAGTCCTCAGGATGCAGACAAAAGACATTCCAGCTCCTGACAAACAGCCTGAAGAGATGCTGAAGCATTCGACAACCCCCCAGGACATTTATGTAAAGAAACAGTTGGACACTAAGGCTGATGCACAATGCCTATGTAGTGTAGGTGGAGTGTCTCTTGAACTGAGGATATGTGAATCAGCAACAAGATTATCCCTGGTCCGACGTGCAAACGATCCATGGCAGACATAGGCTGCATGAAGCATCACATTAGTGCTTCAGAAAGAGCTAAGCAGTAAGTCTGGAATAATCAGTTAATTCATTAAGGAAAGTATATCATGTTTTCTGGAAGCTGTACTCAGAGCCAGGACTGTTAGCCAAATCACCCGATTTCCAGTAGGCTGAGTCTCACCCTTGTTCTGGCAGACACCTCAAAGAACATACCAAATCCACTTAAAATGCTTGAAAAAAAACCCCACCATAAAAAACTTAGTTACTTTGGGTAAATCATAAGCTTACAGGAATGCTGTGCCTCAGTTTTCCCATCTGCAAATTAGGGAGACAGGAATGCCATTCAAGTATTTCCCAGCAGTACTGTAAAGCTCATTTGATTAACATGTATAAGACCGTGCATGATTCTTGGAGGGGAATTGCTGCTGAAGAATTAATTGTTATGATTGTTGCTTATTCCCCAGATGCCTGAAATATGGAACTTGGCAGAATTCCAGAGGAAGTAACCTTGTGAGCTCAGATAAGAGATGAGCCAACCTGACAGTCAGGCTGTTGGTGCAGGCAAGATTCATTATAAACCTGGGGGTCTTAAATAGTAGATCTAAACTCTGAACACGGGCAAGGCTCCAGAAAGCTTTGTCTGTCCCGTGAAGTATAGAATAATAGAATAGTTTGGGTTGGAAAGGACCTTTCAAGGTCATCTAGTCCATCCCCCCCTTACCACAAGCAGGGACATCTTCAACTAGATCACGTTGCTCAGAGCCCTGTCCTACCTGACCTTGAGTGTTTCCAGGGATGGGGAAGTAGGACTGTTCTCTCCTGTTCCTGTTTTCTGCTAACAACGCAGCGGTGCATCGCATACCTGGGTAACACAAGCTGGGCTCTGCTAGAAGAGAACTGCCCAGATTAAGGGCAGCTGCTTAGGAGATGCTAAGCTACCTAGCACACCTTGTAAAAGCCAAACTCATCTTACGCCCTTCTCTATATACTGTCCTCATGCCTTTATCAGCTCACATTTTCCTGAGAAGCCACCACTGCTCTTAGAAAAATCCTTAAAGTTTTAAAGAAAGCATTTGAAGGTGTCCTCCTTGTTAATTAACGCAGGCATCCCTCATCGCTCTCCTGTTAGCAACAGGTACCAGCAGCAGAGGCCGGGGGTTTTGTCAGCTAGTTTAGAGAAAGGAGGGGAAACCAAACGCGTGGGAGATGTTGGTGGCTCAAGTCTGCTGGGAAGGGCTGGACGGACAGATGGACGCCGACGCTATGGCCCCGACACCCTTCCCCGGGCTCAGCAGACAGCGGAGGAAGGTGGTGGGGTGGGATGAAAGGCAGCCCTTACACCAGCCAGCCCTTACACTAGCCAGCCCTTACACCAGCCAGCCCTTACACCAGCCAGCCCCGGGGCGATGCGGGCAGGGACCGGCTGCCCCGGGGCTCTCGCCCCGTATCGGGCTTGGGCTTGGGCAGCGGGGGCAGCGGCTTCCCTTGGGGAAAACCCCCCCGGACGGCAGCTCCGGTCCCCCGGGGCTCCGGTTCCCCCCTCCCGCCGCGGAGGGCGGACTCGCCGCCGCCGCAGCCCGGATGCCGCCGCCGGTTTCCTGGCCCGTTTCCCGGCTCCGGGACCGGCGTTTCCTTTTGGGAGAGCGGCGGGGGAAACCGGAGGAGGGGGAAGAAGGGTTTCTCGTCCCGCCGGCTTATTTTTTCCGGTCGGTGCTCCAGAGAGGGAGGTGGGAAGAGCCAAAGGCGGCCGTACCCCTTTCCCCCCCCCCCCCCCCCCCCCCCCCCACCACCCGAAC